CAGTGTAAGTTTTGTAATATTTTATTCCAGTCTGTGGTGGGTCTGTTTTCTTAACAGTGCCTTTGCATGAGCAGAAGTTTTAAATTTTGATAAAATCTTAATTTATCATTTCTTTCTGTACCCTGCCTCAAATCTTCTGAATAAATATTTTCTATGAAGGTACCCTATACATATTCTAGAAGCTATATAGGTTTACCTTTACATTTAGTTCTGTGATCAATGTTAATTTTTTATAAGGTGTGAGGTAAGGGTTGTCTTCCTTTTTTAAATTGAAAAATTTGCATATAAGCTTTTCCAGCACCACTGGTTGAAAAGACTTCTTTTCCCAGTAAATTGCTTTGGAGACTTTTTTGGGAAATAAACTGACCATGTGAGTGTGGATGTATCTCTGGACCTTCTTTTCTGGTCCACTGATTTGGTCGCGTGACAGCACCGCGCTGTTCCATTGCAGTTGTATAATGAGCCTTGAAATGGGGTAGTAGAAGCTCTTGAACTATTTTTTTTTTAAAGATGTTGTGGGTATTCTACCTTTTTTTGTATTTCCACGTATGTTTTAGAATCAGCTGGTCAGTTTCTTTGAAAAGCCTACAGAGATTACGACAGGGATTGAATCTAACGATCAATTCAGGGAGAGTCAACATCTGAGTCTTCCTGCCCATAAACTGAGTGTGCCTTTCCAGTCATGTAGGTCTTCTTTAATTTCCCTCAGTAGTATTTTGTAGTTTCCAACATAGAGGTCCTTCCTGTCTCTCATTTATTTATTTCTAAGTATTGATTGTTTTTTGATGTTATTGCAAATGGACTTGTTTTAAAATTGTGTGATGTGAATATATCAGAATGTCATTGATTCTTATCTAATGACCTTATATTTTGTGGCCTTGCTAAGTTCACTTATTTATTCTAGTAGTTCCTAGATACGATTTCTTATATGGAAAACCAGCTTATATATGAATAGACTCAGTTTTAATTCTTTCTTTCCATTTTGAATAACTTTTCTTACCTTATTGCACTTGCTAAGACCACTTATAAATTATTGAATAGAAGGAGGGAGATTAGACATTTTGGTCTGTTCTAAACCGAGATGCTTTGTACTTTGTTCATCTCACAGCTCAGAGAAGTCTTGCTGAGATTCTAGAGGAATCTGTTCCTCTTTTTATCATGTCTCAACTCCTTTTGAAATTCCTTGACATCATTTACCATAAATTACACACTTACTTTATCTGCTTACTTCTTTCTCCCGTGTCTCTTACACCAGCCCATAAACCTCCTACAGGTACCGCCAGTGCATAGCTCAGAGGCTCTCAGAAGACACTCAGGAAACGCTTTGTCAAATCAGCCTGTTTTGGTAGGGACTTCTGGCAGTTACGCCTGCTATCCTTTTTCCCAGTGTTTGAATCTCTTCAGCAAAACCTAGCACAAGTATTATTTCTTGCAGAACTTTTTTTTCATATTTCTTTTTTCACCTTAAAACATTTTAAGAGGTAAAATTTCAGAATTTCTCATAGACACCACCTAACACTTAACACTTTCAGAAGTTCTCATGAATATTTTATAAGAAGCAATACAATTCTTTCTACTAATTTTTGCACAATGTTATGGTGGAAAATTGGGATAGTTTGCCTTCCCTGGATGTTATGTGTACATAAAAGTTAATCAGTATTCATGCAGTTTGCAGTGGTTCAGATATGGAAACAAGGGTAAACACATCCGTAACTATCTAGTAAGCAGGTGTTAGGAAAGAATAATATTTTTTATTCTTTAAAGTCTGGGGAAACCTGGTGAAAGGAATCTGTTAGGCAAATTATTTCCCAATTTTTGTCCTTTAGGTTTTGTTCTAATCTGAGAAGTACTTTTATTTGTTTTTAAAATGTAATTGAAGTCTGATGAGGGTAAATTGCCTTCAGCCCGGAACACAGTGATCTAGAATTAATCCAAAAGGCAAAATATCTTCTGGCTGCTCCCTTTTAACAGCTGTTGTGATGCAAAACAAAGCTTCAGTTTCTGTGAAGACATGAGGAAAACAATGGGTTTTCTTCCCCTTGTGGTATGTTACAATAGTTCTTTGGCTCATTCTACACATTGACAATGGAAAAAATGCATTAAAGAAACCTAAACGCATTTTAAGTTGGATGGTCATTCATTCAACTCCCCCCACCCCCAACTGTCTTCCTCATCTTCCCTCCCTCTTTTCCTTTCCTCCTCCCTCCCATTTTCCTTACTTTTTTCTTTCCTTACTTTCCCCTTTCTTTTCTCCCCACCTTCCTTCTTCCTTCCTTCTTTCTTTCTTCTGACCTCCTTTTATGTCCCAGTCACTGTTCTCATTCCCGCAAATGTACAGAGAAGATGACACACGTGACCTGTCCGTATGCTGCGTACAGTGTCGTGGGGAGGCAGGTGGTGAAGAAGTCAGCATGTGCATATGGCAATTCTTGGTCGTCCTAAGTATAAACAAAGTGTGTTTGTGTGCACATGCATGAGTGTGTGTTCGTGAGAAGGAATGGATGAGAGATGAGAGAGAATGAAAATGAATGAGAATTATAGAAGGCCCCAGGGCATTTGGGCTGAGCGCTGACCATCCACCAGATCCAGGGAAAGCGTGTTGAAGAAAGTGGGGATAGCAAGTTAGAAACCCCGAGAACAGATTCAGCTTGGTGTTGGAGAAACAAGCATGTAGACACGTGGCCTCAGTGAAGTGAGTGTGGGAGAGAATGCTGTAAGATGAGGCTGGAGAAGGACGTGGAGACAAGATTCCAGAGGCTGTGATAGGCCACGAGGACCAGTTTCAGTTTGATTCCAAGTGCAGGCAAAAGCCAGTGGCCCACGCGCAGCATATTCATTCATGTTGTCATTTAGACATTTCTATTTTTAAAATTTTATTTATTGATGTATTTTTTTTTGAGAGAATAAGGAAGGGTGGGCAGAGAGAGAGGGAGTAAGAGGGAGAGAGAGACATCAGTTTGTTGTTCCACCTCCTGATGCATTCACTGGTTGATTCATGTATGTGCCCTGACCAGGGATTGAACCTGCAGCTTTGGCCAACTGGGATGACACTCTAACCAACTGAGCTTCCCAGCCAGGGCGTCATTGAGACATTTTTAAAAACATCTTTAATGTGATCAAGATATATCTTCAAATTCTCATCTTACGTTTCTCTTCCAAAAATAAAAAAGAGGTACATGAAGGAAAAACTGTCAGAATCATAAAAAGGTGAACAGATTTACAATTACAACTGTAGATTTCAAGAGTCCTCTGCCAACAATGGATAGAAGAATAAGTAGACAGACATTCAGTAAGGATTTAGTGGATGGAATTGAATAACCCTATTAGCCAAGTTGGCTCAGTTGGTTCTTTATTTTGCTTAATGAAACACTTTATCCTCCACACTTTTTTCTTTTCCCAAGCACTCATGAAGCATTCACCTAGGTGTACCAAATTTTGGACCAAAGCCAAGTTTCAATAAAGTTAAAAGCATTGAAATCATAGTGAATGTGTTCTCTAACCACACAGAATTAAACAGAAATCAGTATCCGAAAAATACCTGGGGAAAAAAAAAACCCCACACAAAATACCTGGAAATTAAACCGAACATTTTTGAATGACTCATGGGTCAAAGAAGTGACAAGGGAAATTTGAAATCACTCAGAAACGAATGAGAACAAAAAAATAACCATTGCTTTTATTTAAAGGTAAAACATTAATAGTCTTACAGCTCTCACAGAGTCAGCTCTCCCTGCTTGTCTGCGCCTTGAATGCACCACTTACTGCAAGCGCCAGCCTCAGCTTGGGCGCCGCGGAAGCCCGGCCTTGTTCCCCGCTGCTGCGGGCGCCCGCCCCTGGGCGGTCTGGCCCTGCCTGCTTTGCTAAGTAGTCCTCCCGCTTTTCTTTTAGTTCCAGTGAGTGACCACTTACTGTTTTCAAAGGCCATGTTCCTGGAACTAAGGAGGGGAATTTATGGAGCAGTAACAGGCAATTTCAAGTCACATGATTCTTAGGTTACCTTTAATTAAAAGTTTGCCAAAGCTGCTTCTGTTGCCCTGGCTCTGTTATACTTGAGGAATTCTGGTCTACCTTCTCCCTACATTTTAGACCTTTTGTGAGTCCTTCCTCAGTTCCCTTCTGTGACTTCTGTTTCTTGGAGCAGTCCTTTAATTATGTTGATTTTTTTGTTGTTTTTGACTGATATGAGCTTGTCCTACTCAACTTCATTAATTCATTTAGGCTTGTCTGTGTTGGACATTAAGCTAGACCCTAGGTTTGCAAAAGGGGTGGGAGACTTATAAATCAGATAATTAATTAGAGTGTGCTAGACACTTTGGCAGAGGCACATTGGAAGGGTTATGTGAATAAACATCCATTTAACAAAGGTTTATTGGCCTCCTTCTGTGTACCAGGCACTGGGCAGTTGGAGGTGGTATTTTAGATGTACCATACTGATTGTTTAAAGTCGAGGCGTTGAATTGTGAAGGAGCGGAGAGTGAGTTGGGGATGGGAGATCTGCTTTGGTATGAGGTATTTGGTGGGGTCTCTGAGGTAGTAGTAAGTGGTAAGAGAAACAGCTAGAAAGGTTGTGAAAGTCTTTTTGTCTTGTAAGGGAGTTTTGTCCTGTTTCTGTGGACATAGTATTTATTAGCTCCATGGTGACCCTTACCAACACTTCTGTACTAGTCACATCTCTCGTTTCTTTGCTTATTCTTCCACTCACTATAGTGACCAGTGGCTCTAAGTGGTGGTGACCACTAGCACTGCGTGTCATGCATTTTCAAAAAGTGGGAGGGGGGTTGCCAACAGAGATGGACCCCACAGCAAGGAGCCTGGTATGTGGTACTCTTACCTGGGGTATTTCCCTCGAGGGTATAATTAGCCTCTTGAAATTTTTATTTTTATATTTGTAAGTTACGGGAGGAAGAGGTTGAAGTATAAACGCATTACTTTGAAAATACCCTGTGGAGTAACATTTCAATTTATTGCCCACCCTGAAATTTTTTATTCTTTTCCTTTAGGTTTCTTGCTATTTAAAGATTTTTGTTTGAATGAAATTAATGAAGCTGTACCTCAGGTGAAGTTTTATGAAGAGGTAAGAAGTAACTGTTTTACTGATGCTTTTATTTTAAAAGCATATTTAAAATGTACTTTGGAAGACATAAAGACTAGTAAATATCTGATATTTAGAAATTCATTGAAAGTAATTAGTAGCAGAAGATGTCTTATGTAGTTTATTAGAGATGCTGACAACATCTATACAGATCCTATTTGTGAAGGCTCTGGAGTGTTCTGGAAGCAAAGAGGCATAGTTGGACTAAAATTCTAGAGAAGGGAGAATCAGTTAGACATGCACTGAAGATTACCAGCCGTTCTGTTACCTGCAGAAGCTTGCTGATTCTGGAGACATTAGCTGAGGCAGAGGGCCACTACTGGGCAAAAGAAACTAGCGAAGTTTTCTGGTCACATGTTGCTGGAGTGACAGATTGGAGACTCGGTGGAAGAGGGTGGAGGAAAGCTGAAGCGATGCGCTGCAAGCTTCCAGAAGACACCCCGAAAGCTCCCACAGCCTTATATGCATCACTGAAGTGTGCATCTGCTGTGGGCAGGAGGCTGAAAACAGAGCAGGCAAGAGATGAAAACCCACGGGTGCTCTGTGGACACTGGAGACCTATGGCTGCCTGTCACCTGGGTCAGCTGCTGATCCAGCTGTAACGACGTCCAGGCCTGTTAGAGCCCAGGTTTGGCCCTGGGCAGGAGGCCGCTTCCGGGAGACAAAAAGCCAACTCAGACCCAGGCTGGCCCAGTCCCTTACTGGGTGAGGAGCCCCTCACCACCTGTGTGACAGAGTACAAAGGGAGCCCTCTCTGTCTTTTCTGAAGGTAGAAAAAAACTATAGAGGATCTGCAGTGTTCCACATACAGTAAAACACTGTTAGATGCTTCAGAGACATGATCACATGACTCATAAACAAGGCAGTAGAAGCAGACCCACAGATGAATCAGATGTTGGAGACAGCTGACAAGTGCTCAAAATAACTATAAATATTATGCACAAGACAATGGCTACAGGAAAATATGGACAAAATTGATGGAAGGGTAGAGAATTTCAGCATAATTTGATTTTATTACGAAAACCAAGTGGACATTTAGGACATTCAGTATAATGTTTGAAATTAGAATTAATGGCTAGAATCAATAGCAGATTGGTTACAATACAAAATAGAATTAATAAATAGTAGATCATCTCAAAACTGAAACAGAGAAAAAAGAAAATAAAAAAGAAATAGGTAAGGACATTAAAGACATATGGGGCATAGTTAAAAGGTCTAACTTAGGTAGAACTGGGCAGAGGCAATATTTGAAGAGAATACTAAGAATTTTACAAAATGCTGAAAGACAGCAGCATGCAGATTCAAGAATCTTAGGAAACCATAAGCCAAATGACTGTGAAGGAAACATATGTTTGCCCATCAGTGTAAGTCTATGGGAACGTTTGACAAAGATAAAAATTTTAAAGGCAACAGAGAGTAGAAAAAGACATTACTTTTAAAGAAACAATATTGTGACTGACGTGACTGTGGCATTTTAAAAGAAATGATCGAGCCACGAGGAGAAAGGACTCCTGGACACGGAGAACAGTGCGGTGATTGTGAGAGGGTGGGGAGGGCGTGCAAGAGGGATAAGTAGTGATGGAAAAGGGTACAATAAATAAATTATTTAAAAATAAATAAAGACATGGTTTTTCAGAACTCAAACAGGCAGTGAAACGGCCAACTCTCAAGTACAGAAAGAAAAAGTAATCTGCCTCTCTAGAATTCTATTTTCAGCAAAAATTTTCCTTAAAAAATAATGGTGAAATAAAGATATTTTCAGACAAACACTGAGGGGATTTGTCAGCAGTGTACCTGCATTACAATAAATACTGCAGGGAGCTTCCTTAAGCAGAGGAAAATGATCCCAGATGGAAATGCAAGAAGGGGTGGAATGGAGGACGTCATTAAGGATAAGTATGTAAAATATAAATAGGTGTTGACCATGTAAACAATAACAAATTGGTTTTAGAATTTAAAATGTATATAAAACTAAAACGCATGACAGTGGCAAAAAGCAGGAGAGGGGTTAAAGTGTTTTTAAGAGTCTAGAATAATGGGGGGAATAGTAATAATAATAATTTGCATTCGTATGTAATCAGTCAAGGATGCATATTGTAAACTATCTCTAAGGTAACTTTTAAAGAATAAAATCCGTATCTATAACAAGATAATGGAGGAGGAAAATGGAATAGAACAACATTGTATTAATCTAAAAAAGGAATAAAAGGGGGACATAAAATAATTAAGTTAGGTTAAATTGAAAACAAGGAGTACGGTGATAGCTAAAATCCACCTGTAAGTAGTTATATTTAATATAAGTAGGCTAAATACTCCAAGTGAAAGACTGAGTTTGTCAAACTTGATGAATAACCAAAAACCCAATTATGTGTGGCTTACAAGTGACGTATTTTAAACAGAAGGATGGAAGAAGGTGTACAATACAAACACACCTAAACAAAGCTGGTACAGCAACACTAATACCCAAATACACTGATGCTCAAATGCTTCTTTGAGATTGAGAGATTATTGCATAATGATAAAGGGGCCAGCATCACAGTCCTAAATATATATGTATGTTACAAGTAATGTAACTTCAAAATATATAAAGCAAAAATGGACAGGTTTAAAAGAAAACAAACCTATAATCCTACTGGAAGATATGCACACATTTAAAGAGTTTATAGAACAAACAGACAAGAAATTGGTAAGGCTAGAGAAATCTTACTGAAGTAATAAATAAACTTGACCTACTGACATATAGAGTGCTGCACACAGCAAGGTTAGAGTTTGCGTTTTTGTAAAAGAACATAAGCAATATTTATTAAAAGCCCTCTCCAAATTTCAGGATTGAAATTGTTCGGAGTATGTTCTCTGACCACAGTGGAATTAAGCTTCAACTTAATGCCACAGTTCACTGAGAAATCCTCACCTGCCTGGGAACAAATACACTTCTAAATAATTTATGGGTCAGAGAGGAAATAAAAACAAATTAGGAAATATTTTCAATTAAAATATATTTTAAAAATGACATATGCTGTGGTCATTAGCTTGAGGTGTCCTTACCCCGAAGCATTTTAAGTGGTCCGACGACAACAGCATCATTAGGATTGATATTAGTCGTTTTTGTACAAGTTTGAAAATTGGAGGGATAGTCCTTCCTTTCTGGTTTATTGATACATGAAGACTTGATATTTTTCTACTAAGATTATATCAACGTATTTCTAGGAAGAATGGTCAAATTGTGATGCACATTTAGTATTAAATAAAATGTGAGTAAAATCCAAAAGGGTTTTGCTCAGTGTGAAGGACTTTATTATTTCACTCTGAATCATAAATCAGGCATTTTATCTGGGTATCCCAGGTATATGGGTCAAAAAATTGTTTCCTTCTTGTTAAAATCATTGCCTTTCCAGCTTCAGCATGCACTAAGCCACCTTGTCAAACACAGAGACATCTCCTTCAGCAGGTAGCTGGTGCTCGGGCAAACAGCCGGGCAGTCCACTGGGGCTCATTTCTTTAGCACTTCTTGCCACTGTGGTGTGAGTGCCGCTGCTGTTTCCATTTGACCTTTAAACGTCAGAGCTCCCCTTTGCTGGCCCGCTCCCCGCCCTCCTTGCCGTTCTCTGGTTTAGGTGCACAGCAGGGCTGGCTGATCAGATTATCCTTTGGAGGATCACGCTGCGAAGCTCCTCAGCCACTCCTCAGAAGCTCCTTGCTCTGTCGTCTTTCACCGCAGATGCCCAGCAGCTGGGGGGCTTCAAATACAGGTCTCTAAGTCAGTGCAGCCTGGAAGCGTCGAAGCCATCCGTAGCTCTCTCCGTTTCCTCAGCCCGGTTATTTCTGGTTCTTGTTGGATGACTCCAACCCCTGGGAAACCCTCTCGTTAAATATCTTAAAATGTCTGTTTTGTACATTGTATTTCCATTTTTCTGTGTCCCCGACTTTCAGCGCTCCCCGTTTCCTGTGGGTGAAGGTCCAGTAGCTTATCCTGACAGTCACAGAGCTCTACATTAGTTCCTACCTGCCTTTCTTTAACTTCGCTGCCTTCCCATGCAGAACTTCCACTCACCAACATTTCTAGACTCACGGAGCCCACCTTTTTGTTACTTTACCTGTGATGCCCTTTCCCCAGCTGGGAGTCCTTCCCCTGCTCGGCCCATGGAAAGCCTAGGCCTGGCTCATTCAAGGTCTAGTTCAGTTTCTATGTTCTCTGACACATCCGTCCGTGCAGCAACCCCAGCCGTCTCTGTTGCTTACGCCCTTGGTCCTCCCAGCATTTATTGTCCATAACGCTCCTGTGTAACACTTAGCATATGCTTGCTGCACCTGTGTGTAATCAGTACTTTCCTCTTGACCATTACTTGACTCATAGACAGAGCACCCTGCTAGGATCTGGGTGCAGCTGAGTCTCCCACTAGCTGTGGGATATGGGGCCACTTACTGAGCAAACTCTGAGACAGCTACATCGTTTCAGACCTGGAGCTTCAAAATGTGAACAGTTATGTTGTTCCTGAATTTGAGGAGCTCACGATATCAGGGTTTACTACTGAGCTTCAGTTACCTTACCTATGAAATGAGGTTAGAATCGTCTCCTGCTCCTTGACAGGGTAATTGGGAGTCTCCAATAGGATGCTGGGTGGGCAATTGCTTTCTAAGCCAGAATAGCTATAATATATTGTTCAGCTATATGGGAGGCTCTAACGTAGTGGGTAGACCTCTAAACTCCAACTGCCTGGATTGGGATTTGGACTTTGCTAGTTACTGGCTGAGCACACTTGGGCAAGCAGTCTAGCTTCTCTGCCTCGGTTTCCACAGCTAAGAATTGGTGAGATGGCATTGCCTGTCCCTTAGGGTTGTTGTGTGTGAGTGTAACACACCTGAACAGGACCAGACATGTAGTTACTGCTCTGTGTGTTGGTTTATACACTTGTTGGTTCCAGTTAGATTTGGAGGCAGCTTATAAAAATATGTATATGATACCTAGATTTAAAAATAGATCA